ACCATCATTAGGTCCTTTACAAAGTACCATCACTAGTCTCTTGAGCTTATAAAATTACAGGAAAATACCAGACAGATGAGCAAAGCAAGGAGGAGAGAAAAAAAAGAGAGAACCATATTTAATAACTGTACATTCTGCTCTTTGTTTCTGTTAAGCAACACTTTGATTGAAGTTTCAGCTATTGTGAGGAAATGTGCAGTCTAAGGCTAATAGCATTTTGTCTGGTGTCTTGTTTCACTGACAATGTCATTGTGACGGCAGGAAAACAGTGAAGAGCACAAAGGCAAATGCAACCCTAATAAATTAAAGTTACATTTTCTCCTAATATACTTCTCATGGTGAGAGTTGAACATGCAATTGAGAGGACTGCACACTTGTAACTGGATTACCCTTTTCCAGCTCACAGCTAAGACCAGCTTCCAGGCCACATGCAGAAATGGTTTCAGTAGTGGCTTGTTTGGGGATGTGCCTACGTATCCTCATGGTGGCTACAGAGGGTCCTTCCGAGCAACACACCATCACTGCTGTGCCTGAATGACGGCTCAGGAACGGGGCTCCACTGCCAGGGGATGGCTGAGGTGAGAGAGACATACAACCTTCTGCAGGGCTCCAGCAGACTTGGATTTTGCTCCACCCAAAGGAGCCGAATGTCTCCTTTCTGCTAGCCCTGTGAAGTGCCACATCCTGGGCAGGGAGGCCTCCCTATGGCAGAGCACAGATGAGCTCTGCAGCCCTACACCCACCCTGAGTCGAAGCATCCACCCTGCAGACCCCTTCACTGCGCAGGCTGTGTGTGACCACCTACCTGTACAGTGACTGACATGGAGGCTGAGGTCCTTAATGGCTCACCCTGATTAAATACGGGCAGGACACGTCTTCCACCCCAGTCAGGGAGGAGACATTAATTCTGCCATAAAAGGTACCATTTTACAATAGGAAACTGCCATAATTGTACATTTTTATTGTCTCGTCTAGGTTCCCTACATTTCCGATAAGCGCAGCTTAGGAACTCTTCCTGCAAACCACACAAAAATAACTGCAGTTTAAGCAGCAGGAAGTTTGAGATAGGGAACAACAAAAGCAAGGAAATTCAAAGTTAAGGCTGCTGCTGACTTGTTATGCTGGGCTTAGCAGTGGCGGTAGAGATAATGTGTAATGCATCTTGCTGATCCAAGACCCCTCAATAAATAACCAGGCATGAAGGAATGACAGGGGAAGGGTGTGCAAGCCTTCACTTCACTTCTCTCCTCCTTGCTTTGGGCAATTTGTGTTGCAACCTTCCAGTGACTGAAGCAGCTTTGTGCGCAGTCTCCTCTTGATGCGTTTTTGGGGATTTTACCCCGACAGGGCTCCCTGTTTTAAAATTACAATGCAAGAAAAAACAAAAAGTCTCTCTGTGGAGTGCTCTCACGTTAGATATTAAAGGTACTGTTGATCAAGGCCATCTAAAACACAAATTCTGCTTTGGATGGGAGATGCAACTGTCCCCGTAAGCACAACTTAAAAGACGTAGTAGGACATGAAAACCAAAATTTTCTGTTCTCAAAACTGGGTACATGAAGTCTCAGAGGCATGCATGTTTGCTGGTCCTGCATTGTTTTTTTAAAACAATGAAGAAGAGGATTGTTGGTAGCTGACTCAATACCAACTTCAGAGAGAAACAGGACTTCTGTACCTGCCAGATGGCAATGAAGCCAAAGGAGCAGCCATAGTCTGCCGGACGCGTCATGGGTTTCGACATTCTTTAAATACTTACTTTCACTGCAACGCCTTGAAGGCTGCTGTCATCTGGCAGACTGAGACAAGAAAAGCAACATGTTTTGCAGGGGTTGTGTGTGAGGAGCTTCACCACCTCCTTCACACGGGGTGCAGGCAGGGCACAGGAGAGAGTGGGCAGGATGTACAAAGGAAAGTGCTTAAGTAACACCGGAGCAAAAACCCCATTGATTTTATATTACTTAACAACACTTGAAGTTTACCCTTATTTGCAGACAAATATGAATTCTACCATCTATCCTACCCTGTGCTATGAACGTACAATCTCTTCCATGAGGACTGTCCTATGCCTGCAAGTAACGTGGCTCTATGTGGAAATTGGGGCCTGACCATGGGAAGCAGGTGACAGAACAGGAACCTATTATGTCTGAATACGAACCTCGGCTGAAAACCATGAGGGAAGTTGGTCTCAGTTAGGGCTTGGAAGGTGGTTCCCTCAAAATGTGACCTTTCAGTCCAAAAAGAATTTTAGTATAACATAATAAAAATCCTGGGGAGTGATATGTTTTTTGACAGCCGTGCACACATCTGTGAGCACAGAAGGGCTGATCCAGAGGTTACCATTATAAAAATCAGCTGTGTCCAACAGCTACCGCAGTATTATCAACAGTATTAGAGGTTCCTGCACCCTGTACTTAGATTAGGAAATAACTGTGGTAGTTGTGTGGTTTCCCTTTGGCAGCTGCTGATCTTTTAGTGGTGGCCACTGTATAACACAATGAGCAGAAATGGTACTTGTTAGATCCAGCTCTTGGTCTTCTGCCATCACTGCTGTGCAATATGGAGCTCACTGGCTGCCATTCGTAGTCCAGCAAAATCCCAGCACAGACAGTACCACAAGAACTGAATTTCCATTGCTGAGCAAACTAACAGGCCAACTGGTTGGAATTCTCCAGTTTAAATTATGTATTTTATCATTGGATTTCATGTGATTAAAGCTGTGCATTTTTAATTGAAAAACTGAAAAGCAGGGAAGCAACCGACCTCAGATGCATCTTGGGGTTTCTGTGCATTATCTTTTTCCTTCTTGCTCTTTTGGTTTTCATTTTTGATGCGTTTTGTTCCAGACACTTTTGTTTTCGCTTCACCCTCCTGGGAACTGTTATCCTGTTTTCGAGGTTTCACTGGAGGCAGTGGCTTATCTTCCTCTCCTTTAATAAATCTTTCATATGGCAGGATTAATCTAGGGGATTAAGGAACAAATAATTGATCAGGTTTTGCCATTCTAGCAAAGAAAAAAAATGTATCTACTACGAGCAGTTTACTTAATAAATCCATTTTCTTCCATGCCATAAAAGCAACAGTTTAAACTCTACATCTATAAATCCAAGTATAAGAAATCAATTTATTTGGCAAGATTATCATGTGGCATAAATTCAGTGGAGTTGGAGTTGGTGTGGATCAGTTGTCAGTAAGGCCGCAGTGGTTTGTGTGGCTACACCGATTTGTACCAGATGAGGATATGAGCCACTATGTTTAAGACTGATTTAAAAAAAATAAAAAAATATCCACTATTTATTTTTGTTTTCCCTCCTTGCCCCTAACAGCACGCAGCAAACCCCAGGAAAACACCTACAAAGCCACAGCCAACTTGATAACGGTTACACAATTTCCAGGCTGGTGGTTCCCTTGAGTGCAAGGGTGAGTGCCAGGAATGTGGCAGAAGATGGGAGAGCTGGGCTGCAGGAACCCTACAGGGGTGGGCACAGCACCAGCCACGCTGCCACCCGTGCAAGGGCACCCATGCAGCGACAGCCACCATGCTCCCTGCCTTCGCCAGGGCGTCTTATTTTAAGGAAGAAAGGGAGAAGAAAAGAGTTAAAAGCAAAGGAATTTTTCACTGTGGAACTGTCTGCCACAAAGTGCACGAAATCGCTTTAAAACAGCAAGGAAGAAACACAAAAAATATCCTCCCCTTGAAAGCATCAAACACACCGAGTTTTAATCTATCTGTTTTCCCTTTGCAATTTTTGATCTGAAAGGAAAAATAACTGATATAATTAAAAGGGATGGATTGCATTACAATCTCAGTTTCAACTTCAGTGATTAAAGTTTTTATAATGCATTTTGGTATGATTAATGACTCACTGTGGGATTAATACAAGACTCAGACTTTAAAAATATGAACTTTAATACAGCAAACATAATTTGTTAAAAAAAAAAAAAGACAAGTTGACTTTATGAAGAAAATGTACTTTGCTTATAAACAACATAAATCTGCTCAAATACCAGGAATCCTTAATTATCTTTAATCTAAGACTCCAAGGCAGAAACCTCTTTGGTTCAGATATTCGTTTGTTATCCTAGAATCAGTTTCTAAGCATGCAATTTTGATTTACATACTTAGATGTTCAAACACAGTTTGGGCTTAAGAGAGCAGAAATTAGATTGCTCGTGATCATAATATTTTACATTTTAATAAAATACAACATAAATTATGTTAAAATATAAACCTAATTTATGCTATATTAGAAACAAAATTCATTAACTGAGCATGCTCTGACATGGTATGTGCAAAGAGGCGTGAATAATACTTTCTAGCCCTGAATTTGGCAGGGCTCCAGTAATGAAGCTAAGCAGAGCCCACGGGGAATATTCATCTTCAGATCCCATTACAAACTGAGTTTAAACATGTTACAGCTGCTAAAACTGGAAACTGCTCCCTCTATGCAAACTTAGCAAAATAATACGTAGTTGCCAAATACCTGCTTCCCACTGTAATATTACAGTTAATGTTTATATAATAAAAAGCATAACTAAGCAGAAGAAGAAAAAAATAATCTTGTTCATACTTGAGGCTGCTACATTTCATTCGCAAAGTGCAAATATTGGTGAAAACACCGAATTCCTCCCCGCGCTGCACAAAGCACTTTGGACTTCACTCGAGGCAAGCCTGGGTTTCACATAGGGCAGCGTCCAGGCTGCTTTGCCATGTGTTAAATATTTAAAATCGCTTTTAATAAAAACACATTTTATTACAATAATTGTTAGCACTGCAAGGGGAGTGTTTGACTTTGTTTTGTTTCCATGGGAACGTGTCGCCCATTAAAAATCTACATATTCCATCCAGGAAGGTTTAAGATGCTGTCCGGTGCCCCACGGGACACGGAGATGCTCCCAACCCACGGAGCGGGCCTTTCCCTGAAAGGTGCCAAGTGATTAACCCCGTGGCTCCGGCCGGGACGGGAGCAAGGCTTGGGCCGACACAATTAATCACCGCTCGCGTGCTCTCCGCCGAGCCTTGTAGGGTAACGCGGGACACAAACTCCTCCTCCTCCTGCTTCTGCACCTCACCAGAACTCATTAGCTTGGGCGCTAATTAGTTACCGTGGCTTAAATTTCCTTTTCTGATCTTAAGGGTTCATGTGGGAGTACAAGGTTTTCATTTTAGTTATTTTTCACTGAGCTCAGCAGTTGGCAGGCCGACAGCAGTAAAAATACATTTCACATCGCCGGTCAGCGGCCTGGAGCCAGCGGCAGGAAATCTGGAATTAAATGTTTCGTGTATCGGGGAGGCGGCATGACTAAGGTAAAACTGAGTCAAAACACAAGGACGGCTTGTTCTAGGATTTTCCCCTCCTCGCCTGAAAGGAGGGCCGGCGGGCTGCCGGTCCCTGTGGCCAAGGTGGCTTTTGGGGGCGGCTGGCGAGGAGCCGGGCAGGAACGAGGGCTGCGAGACCCCGGAGAGCTGCACCGAGCCCAGCAACGCCAGCAATTGCCGCTTCACGTAGAGATTTCCGTCGGTTGCAATTTTCACTGAATGTTTTTTCAGTTATCCTGTCATGGTACAACACAATTACCCACAGGATATGATCTTATCATTTGATTATTAGAAGTTTTTATAGCGCAGGAGTAATAAAGCTAATACAGCTCTCGGAACATGTAAGCAGCCGGCTCACATGCCATGAAAGCAGCCGGCTTAGCCAATTTAAGGTCAATATTGCCCAACACCGGAAGAATGCGATCTGCTGTTAGCCAAATAGTTTAGCAGAATGTGACATGTCTGAAACCAGCATGAGATTTTTTTTTTTTTGGTCAAATATTTGCAGTGCAGGTAAGATTTAATCAATCTTTGCGCAAGGAGAAGCAAAGACAACGTCCAAAAAAAAACTGGATTGAGGTACTTCGAATAGATTGTATGTTGGAAACAACAACCGTGTTTTCCGTTGCTTTGAACTGTGGCTGTATTTCACGACGGGGGGGGAAGTATCAAAGTATTCATAAAAAAGGAAAAGAGGGGGAATATTTCGTGGTCCAAAGAATATTTACTTGTAGAGCCTGAGGGAAGACCAAAAAAAAGGGTCTTTATCATGATCAAGATTCCAATATTAAGATTAATAAAATGTATTATTTATAAGTCAATTAACATAAATAGAATATGTAAGCACTAGTGTATTAAAAAAATCTTTCCACAGGCAGCAGATTTTTAGCAGCATGAGGTTTTTTTTTTTTCCTGGAATAATACAAGAATAACATTTTCCAGCCAAGAGCAGAAACAGTAGGGGAGTCTTTGCTATCACAGGGCTTCTTATTAAATTCAGTCACTGTGAAAAGCCAGTCTTTTTCTTTTTTTTTTTTTAAATAAAGACAACTTAAAATCAATACAAGTTAGATTAACAAATCAGTACTATACTAATCCTGATTTATTACAATCGGCAATATTAAGTTTAATCACGTATAAACTGCTACTCAAAAAAAGATTTTCTTTTAGTAAGTCCTGAATTAAATAATGGTGCAGTGTACTGAGTTTTTAGATCTGCATCATCTGATATTATGAAAAATTCAATGTACTTCTCTGCAGCAGATGTCAGAGGTCAGCAAATCTATTACAGTAATGTAAGTAATCTGGCTTTCTGCCAACGTTTTTTTAAAAAACACTGAAGCAGATAATTTTATATTTACAAATTCTAAAATCCTCCAGGGACTGAATCTCTTCCCCAACAAAAAGCAGAAACTTCACATTAGAGAAATGTATTTCACAGTATATCAAACATGTCTTCATCATTAGCATTTCATAAAAGGAAAAAAAAAAGCCCTTAATCTTTATTAGTCAACATTTTTTTCCCAGCTACAGAACTAACAACACAAGATCTCATCTGAGCCAATAACCACTACATGTATTGATTATGCAGAATGAATGACTTTTTTGGCCCGACTTTGCTTCACAGGACACATGAGAGCACATCTATTTATAGGCATGATAAAAAAAGTAGTTACAATAATGCAAAGGATCTGACCAGCCCAGAAAGAGGAAGGAAATTAAATGTTAAGGCTGCCAGTTTCCTCTTTAATTCTCCCTACTGTGTATGGATATGACGGGGCTCTGGGGCCAGAGAGGAACCATATGCCCAGGACACACAGGGTGAAGGAGGGAAGGAGGCAGCTCAGCACAGCCCCTACAATATTTTTTTTATGTCTCTGTTTCAGTGTTTATTTTTGTTTTGTTTTTGGCAGAATAAAATATTCCAGCACGTCTCCCATTGACATCATTGTACTTTCTCAAGGGCTTCAAGTCCAACACAAAATAGCATGCAATGGAGCCTCTCAGCCACAAGAATAATCTTGGAAGGACTTAAAATACCAAAGCCCATTCCTTGGGAGATGTTGCCCCATTCGCATGCTTGGCCAGGTTAAGGAGGCTAATTGCAACTGGAATGGAAAAAGATTTAAATTTGCTCCACCAAATGAATCCAGCAACCAGTTAACCCATGGAACTCACTGCCAATGGATATCTTGGGGCCAAGGGATTAGTGAGATTATGCAAGGATTAGATGCTAATGTAAATCATGAGAACATTAAGCTGTTAGAGCTTCAAAACCGCTGAAAAGGGACAGGCAATAGGACTCTTAACAGGTAGGAATTTGGGAAACGGCTTTCCTCCTGAGCACCTTAGGCCACAGTGGCTCCAACTCCCTCCTCTGGAGCTGGGGGACAAGACAGCTGGTTTCCCTGGCTCCAGAGGGCAACCATCTGGTTCAAGAGGTCCCCACAGCAGCCGGGCAGAGCTGCCCACAGCCCCTGCAGCCAGAGGGTCCAAGCACAGGGCTGGGAGGAGTGGCCACCAAGCCAGGGCAGCTTGGGGCAGCTCTGGTAACAGCCCCTGCGGGGTAAAGGGGCCCCCATCAGTAACCCTGGCAAGAGAAACCGGAGTCTTGTCCCCTAGAAACTCAGGGGCAAAAATTCAGCTGTTTTAAGGGACCAGCAGGAATGCCTGAGCTCTGATCCCAAGAGAAGTCTTGTCTTTTTTACTGTGATGCTTTTCAAAAGGATAAATCTTGGAGCACTGGTGTCAGTGTAGGCAAGGGAAACAAGGCACCTTCATCAGCAATCAGTTGGTGGGGATAGCCAGGAGCAGGAGGCAGCCCTCCTGGACACCACTGACACATTCCCAGTGAAGAAGGGAAAGGAATAACCCAAACTTTAAGGTCTCAGTCTGTTTTCCAAAATGGAAATATAAAATACGTTGAGGAAATGAAGCAGAGTGTTTCTCAAGTCTGATTTCCCTGGATTGCATTGTACAATGGAGGGGTTATGAAAGCAAGCCTCACGTGCTTTTGTGCAGAACACAATAGCAGTGGCTTGATTTGCATTTGTCTGAAGTACAAAACTGGCATGTATTTTATCAGCGAAGACAAAATATGTTTGAGTTCAATTTTCTTTCCAAAGAACTTTCCTTCCTTAAAGAAATGGCTCTTTCATCCTTTCATCAACAACTTTCCTCACAGCCCACTGGGAGTGCTGGTGGGTAATGAGAATGGCTCACTGCTGAAAGGTGGGAACTGCGCTGCTGTAAGAGAATTCAAAGACACTTTGTTTTAAGTAAACTGGAAATTAGTGACATTACAAACACAGCTGTTGATTTAGCTGCACGGCCAGGCGAGGGAAGCTCAGGCACTTCCTCAGGCTCAGTAGGAGGAGATGAACAACCCCAGTCTTTTGCCTTTGGTGCAGATTTACTGCATGTGAAAGACTCTAAGGAAAGGTGATGGGCACAGAGCGGCTTCCTCAGGTCACTCTATCAAAACTGCTACAAGCCTCTGTTTGTCCAGTCACCATTTCTGCATCTAAAGACATGCACTTTGTTTGGTAGGTTCATAGAGTACCTGCAATGCTTGGTCCCTATGCTCAAGACAAGCTTACAGATGCCATTTTGCACTGCTTGTGGGGTGCAGGTCTCCTGGAGAGACCCCAAAATCCTGCTGACCCTCCCTTGGGAGCTCTGAGTCACATCTCCATTGCTCAAAGCCAAACAAACCAGGGTAACTCACGCCATGTTAGCAAAATCCTGAAGTACAAGGTGGAGATACCCAGCAGCCCTGGGGAACCTGAGGGGAAAGATCTTACTCTTCATCACTGGTGCTGCTCCTGCAAAGGAGAATGGCACGTTTCCCACTGTGCAGCACCCTCCTGGGGCAACTCAGCTCCCAGCAAGGAAAAGGGGCTTGTCCACTTGTGTCAAGCCTGTTCCTACTCCTGGATGTCAAAAAGTGAGGTTACCAGGTGTGACACTGACCAACTCCAAGCACTCAGCCTGGTGACTGGGCGTGCTGGGACCCCAAAAGCAGTGGTCGGGACATGGCATGCCACTATTCTGCTAGGACAAACTCCTGGGTGGAAGGCAGGAGGTAGCTGGGAAAACAACTCCCCACCAGGAGAGAGATCATCTGTTTCCAGGCACTAAAAGGCAGTGCCTGACTGTCCAGCACTTTGCACCCAAGGACTCCTGCTGACTTCAGTGCTGGCCAGTAAGTCTCTGAGGCTGAAACCCCAGAAATTTTGAAAAATATGTGTGTTCTCAGATGTTTTGAACGGACAGCTAAGGATCTGTTTTAATGGTAAACAATTACGGTCCTCTGTCATCTGATACTTTTTAAATTTTGGGGAGGGGGGAAGCTTTCTGAATTTTCAATAGTTCCTTTGTTAAAGCATCTGTTACTCACATAATTGAAAAGATGTTTGTTCAGTGGTATGCTTGAGAGTGCAGTTATTTAATCTTAATGATAAAGCCCTGAGGGCAGAAAATCATAAGTAGAAACCTCTTGTTATTTATCAAAAAGAAAAAAAACTCCAAACTAAAAACCCAGGAAAAAAAAAGAGAGAACTGAGACACCTCATCTATCTTCAGGCTTAAATTCGTGCTTGATGGAAAACTATTGAGACAATTTGCAACTTGTGAAGTTTTCTGGGAGTCTGGGACTAGCTGAAGTGTGAGGGGGGCAGGGAAGTGGGGTGAAGACAAAAATAAAACAACCAGAAAAAACTGTTGCTTGGCAAGTCTTTTTTGGGTCAAACAAAGAGCTAGTTGTAGTTTACAGCATGACATAACATTTGATTAATTTTTGCCTGAGGATGTTTTCACACTTAACAGTGTAAATCAAAACCTTCTATTAATTACAACGTGTATTAAAAGATAACCATAAGCAATTTCATGTAGATGCTATACGAGCCTCCTGCGCTTTTTTCTCTCTAAAAATTGGCTGCTATTTCTTACAAAACTCCACTGAAATTCTTACACGTTACCAAAGTTAT